CCAGATTGACATTCATCAATTAAATTGTTCAAAGTACATTTTACTCTTTTGGATAAAACTAATGCAATAATTTTATAATCATTGTTCAGCAAGGTAATTGGTCGCCAATTATCAATTAATAAGTGATCTTTATTTGGTTTTGGTATTAAAGTTATTAGTCCTTGACATAAGGTTGGAGGAAGGAAGAATCTATCTATGCTCTCATTAAAGACCTCAGGCAAAAAAGGAGTTAAAAGTTTCTCAAATGTTCTATAAAACTCAGCAGAGTCCGTCCGTTCCAGGAGACTTGTTGCTTTTCAGTGATTTAATGGCATCCGTAACTTCTTGTAAACTAAGAGGGGCTTCACATATATTGAACTCATCATCACTAATCTGTTTTATGTTATGTAGCGATTTAAAGAATTCTGTAGTAGATTGTTGACAAAATTTAGAAGAATACAAGTTACTGTAAAATTCAGAACAATAGTTTGCAACAATTTTTGCATTCTCCACAATATTACCATTAATCCTCAATTTCTCAATATAATTATATTTAGCTTGTTGCCTCTCAAGTCTAAAGAAATACGCAGAGCTCATTTCACCCTCTTCAAGCCATTTCCTTCGAGATCTTATAAAAGCTCCTTCTGCCTTTTGTTTGTAAAATTCTGATAATTTAATCTCTTGTTCAGTAAGTTCTGCTTTTCCAGATTCTGATAAGTCTTCTATTGTTTTGGATGATAAAGTGGATATTTTTAAAATAATACTATCTTCTTCAGCTCTTCTCTTTTTTGCCAATTCACTACAGTATTTCCTAAAAAAATTTCCCGCTTCAAATTTGAGAAGTTCCCAATTATTACAATATTTTTTTTCAACTTTCGCTTTATTCCAGTAAGTCAAAATAATTTTTTCTATTCCAGTAATAACTTCCTTATGTTTAAGAACTGAATAATTTAATTTCCAGTAACCAGATTTTTGAGTTAAATTACTAAAGTTTCTAAAGGGAATCATAATCGAAATAGCTGCATGATCTGAGAACGGAGATGGTATTATATCAGTAACAATGTTATCCAAGTCATTGGAAGTAAGCCAATAATCAATCCTAGATTGAGAAGATAAAGATTTGTTACTCCAAGTAAAACATTCTTGTGTTGGATGAGATTTTCTCCATGGATCAAACAAGGAAAATTGTTCTATAAAAGCCATAATATAATCTGAATTAGGAGTTCCAGTTTGATGAGGCCATCTATCTAAACTATTATCTAGGACAACATTGAAATCACCACCAAAGATTAGAGCAGAATTAGGAAAAATGGTTAACATTTGAATCACCTGCTTGCCTAATCTATTGAAGAGAGCTTTATTTTCTTTTTGTAAGTTAAAACCATATACATTAACTATAATATAAGTTTCATTTAAAATCTCAGCGGCAAGTACAATGTAGTGCCCAGAAGCATCACAGTTAGATCTTAAGATTTTTCCTTTAAATCTGTCCTTTAAAATACAAACCCCAGCAGATTTAGTAGTGCCATGGGAAAACCACAGATCTAGTCCCCACTGTGACCTCCAAAATTGTGCGTCTTCAGTAACAGAGTGGCATTCTTGTAGAAAACAAAAATCTGCATTAAAGCGCTTCAAGTATAAGAAAAAAGCTTTCCTCTTAGTGATATTGCGTAACCCTCTACAGTTAAGAGAAACAATAGATAAAGACATAGAACAAGAGTGAATATGAAATAAATAAAAAAATAAAACAGATCCAGAAGATTCCTATATAAATATATAGCAAATCTTAAGCAAACTGTCAGGGTTCTGCCACTTTGGTCTCGTAAATTCTTGTTTTGGTGGCAGAGCTTTGACACTACTCATGTCTGGTCCTGTTTCTGTCTCTGTGTGCGCGCGCGCCGTCGTGGGTGTACGCAGAGTGTGTGCGCTGGCGCTTGATGTGGCCGCGCACGCTCTGCGTCCCTCAGACGCGCGCGCTCTTGTACTAGTGTTTGTGTTTGTTCTGTCAGCATCGCGCTGCTTTATTCTCGGCGCCTCCGTCTAGTTGGTTTCAGTTTTGGTTGGCGCTGAGATGAAGCATGCGCGTTGCTTATGTGTGAGCGCACGGTAAGGTGTTTATCTATCGTGTGCTTGTGTCTTGTGTCTTTTGTCAAAGCACGTGGCTCGATGTTTACATTGTGGTCACGTGCTTTTGTCGTGTGCTTCAGTGTTGTGCTCGTCTTGTCATGAACATGCGGTTGATGAGTTCTCTCACTGGCCGCATGTTCTTGTCCTGTGTCATCGGAGCGCATGGCTTGTGTTGTCTCTCTGTGTCATGCGCTCTCCCGTCTATTGTCTAGTCCCACCCTCCTTGTTAACCCATTATTAGTTAATTATGTTCACCTGTTTTTTTGTTAATTTCCTACAGTTTATAAACCCCTTATGTCTGCTGTCCTGTGCGAGTTCGTCATCATATGTTGTCGATGTTTACCTGTCCTGCTGTGTCCAGTCCTGCCTTGTCCTGCCTGCCCAGTCAAGTTTGTTTGTTTGATTTATTGTTTGTTGTAGTAGTGTTTTTCCCCCTCTGGGTTGTTTATTTTTGCCTTTTATTTTATTTTATTAATAATAAATCCTACTTCACTCTGCGCTTGGGTCCTCGCTCCTTTTTCCCTTTACCGGAACGTGACACAAATGCAGCAATAATATCCCAGGATGAGAACAGCAATCCCTTTTTAACACCTATATTGGTTATACTGAAAATTTGTAAAAGAGAAAAAATTAACAGGAGTCTTAGTCTCTACCACTTCTTTAGCCAACATAAGCAAAAATAATGTATTTTCTTTTTTTATCTAAAGAGAGAAAAAAAAAATGTTTTGTTTCTTTTATAAAAGTATTACATTAATCAATATGACTGGAGTCTGAATCCCTTTCATGTTATCGTTTCAAGTAATGAAAAGAAAATGTCTCCCTTTAAAGTTAAAAGAAAAATAAGCAAATATCGCATCTTCTCTGAAAGTTCAAATCAACAAAACTGAATTTGAGTACCTGTTTCTTTTCAGTCTATAGACCAAAAATATGGAAGAAAAGTATCTTAAATTTAAATCCAGAGAGAGACGGGAAAGGCGTTACTGTTCCTTGTGTAAATGAAAAAATATTTAAACAGGTCTTATGTTCCAGTTTTTACAAAGATTAAAATGAGAGTACTTTTGTACTGAAAGGGGGTATTAGCATGCTTCTTTTTTCAGTTGCGGTTGCCACTTTTTCCATTGTAATTTAGGATGAGGGCGAGATCTCAACGCCATCCACAAAGGCACGGCCACCGACAAAGAGAGCCTTTTTGTCTTCCTTACGAGCTTTTTCGACAGCGGGCCATAATTTCAGTCTTCGTTCTCTGTCAGCAGGAGACAGGTCCTCGGAGATCCTTAGCTTATTATCCTTTAGAAAGTCTGCATCTTTGGCGGCGCGCCAGACAGCATCCCTAAAAAAGCGTGAAGTAAATTGAAATATAATACCTCGAGGAGTGCTGCTTCCAGGTTTGTTACGGCCAAGACGGTGTGCGACGTCTACGACATCAGACAGCTTCTCTTTAAATTGCGGCAGGAGACGCTGACATACTTTAATGACCTCGAGACGAACATCTTCTCCGCTTCTTTCTTGAATCCCTTGAATCCTCAGATTCCACCTTCGGGAATAGCCTTCTAGCAACGTTAGACGTCTTTCTTGCTCTTCGATACACCTTTCAGCTTTTTTTAAGCCAACTTTCATGGCATTTACGTCCTTACTGATGAACTCGATTGTTTCCTTTAATTCCGCGATCTGCTTTGTATTGACGCCGACTTCGGATTTTATTTCATTTACTATCTGAGAATTTTTTTCCACCAGCTTCTCAAGTGTGTCTGACTTATTTTGCACGAGACGTGAAAGGTCCGAAATCTGGGAAAGGATGATCGTTGTATCTTTTCCCACACATCTGCGTTGTTTAGGGGCTGGTGATTCACAAGGAGTTTCTGGAAGAGATGGAAGTTCGACCTCCGCTGCCAGCATAAGTTCCTCAGAGTTAATATTCTGCTAAAGGTAGTCATGTAAATTGTCTGTAATCAATGCGTTAGAAGGGATTTTATCCAACTTTTCGGCCCTCGGCGAACTGCTATTTTGATTAGCCAAGTTAGCATGTTCTGTCTTTTCGGTCTTTCCAGCCTTTTTTCCTGCACTTTTTCTTTTCTCTGACCCTCCCATTGTCGTCTGTAACGGATCGCTATAATATCAGTTCAAGTTAACTTTTAATATACACTTTGCGAAACGTTAAACAGTTCAGTTTAAGTAGTTAGGATTGCGGAGCTCAACGAAACGCGTGCGATCAAGGAGCCATCTTGAAAGCGTCCGGTCTATTAAAGCATTAGTTCACTTCTATAAAAGTGAGTTTACCTCCACTAGAGGTCGCTGTGATGATCAGATTCTCCACAGCTCTGATTCTCTCAGCTCTCGCCGGGTTCAGTGGCGCGTGCCTGTAATCCAACCCAGCAAACATTTGGACGTCCGATTACCGCTGAAAAGACGTCGCTCCGTCACGTGTCGTCCTGGTTGAAAAGTAGTGCCAAAATGAAAATCCAACCGACGTCTTTTACGTCTTCTGGCCGTGAATCGCACGTCTTTTCTACACGGTCCCTGCACGTCGAAATATGTCATGTTCTGGACGTTTTCTGGTTGCTTTTAAAACGTGTTATTTCTTTATAATAAGTGTTTTAATAGCCTAATTATACATATAAAATAATCAAACTTATTATTTAAAGCTGTGAAATGCAATCAGGTCCAATTTCAGTCCAGTTATACCTAAACGTCTTTATAGCATTGTAATCACGTGTAAACCATAAGTAATACATTATTTAAGGATGCAATAGTGTTACGATTAAGCAAATTATTTATTGTGCATATAGTAACAGATGTACATCACTGTTAAACAGACACATCTAATAAGAATAAATAAAACAACAACACAGAAATATGGACAACACAAGTGAAATGTTATTTTAGAGTCTTTATTTCTACTATTCTCCAGCTCTTCCTGGAAGGTGCTTGCTGTGTTCCTCCATTGCTGCATCTTTTTCTGTGTCTGTAGCATCTGGACTCACTTCACAGCATCTGAGGAAGGAGAATATGATTTTGTATCATCTTAAAACTAAAAACTTACAACATATCAAGAATTACTGTCATGTTTCATGAATGAACAGCAATGTGCAGAGCAGTATCTAATGTCAATACATACATATTCCCTACTACTCATCATTTTACAACTGCCCATATCCACACATCCACAGTTTTGTGACAAGCAAAGACTGTCATTCATGGCTTACACTAAAATTATCATTTAATATTTTCAGTCTGCTTGACAGCCTGAGTCTGTACAAACATTTTAAAACATCTGAACATTAAAACAGGCATGTCTATAAGGAGACGTACAATGATGAATGACAGATGAAATCTACAGTTTTAATTATATAAAATGCTGGGTTAATTGTTGGGGTAGTAAAATATATTTTCCTGAAATATTGTGCAGAAATAAACACAAACAATGCAAGATAAATATGTACCCGTTTATCACTCTTTTAATCAGGCTCGGACAGAACATCCACCAACTCCGGACAGTTGCTGAACCTAAATGTGACACCAAAATCACAGTCAGAGCGATCCAGACAGACAGAGACACACATTCTGTCACATTTAAAACTTACACAGATCCAGTTCTTCTTTTTAACTTTGATAAACACTTCACAGGATCTCGCTCTCAGAATCCAGTCTCTTAACAGAACATGTAGACCTGCTGCAGTCCACAATGACAATTACTGTAACAGAGCAGCAGCTAACATCAGGCTCATGATGACGTTAACTTTTCTAGTTGCAATTATTTACTAAAGCGTTTATCAGAATATGCAATAAGATCACAATACTCACCATAGGTATAAAACTAGCTCTAGGTTTGCAAATGTGAACTCATACACATTATACACCTAAATAAACTTTTAAGCATTCAACAAGTTTCTCACCTACTCTGGAGTGTCCTCAGGGAGTGTGATGACAGAGGATCATTTGCACTGGAGACAATTCTACAGACAAACAAAACAACAGTGAGAAAGGTAATAATTCAATTATTTAATGAACAGAAAATAAATAAATGCAAAGCCTTATATGATTCTTACAGTCGGCCTGGAGAAAGAGTCTTGAATTCTCTCTGACAGATGACTGATTGTTATTGACCCTGCAAGACAAATTTGAACCTTAATGCAGTTTAATTAATTTACAGTACAAAAACTATTTTACAGGAGCAGTTAAAAGAAAAGTGGTTAGACTTTACCTGTTAAACCTCCACATGAGCTATAACACCTACATGCATATATTTACCATTTTATGTTAGTGTAAAATATTAAGTAAATAACTTTTTCATATACATGCTCATAAGTTTTGCTCTTATTGTTAATGACAGCCTATTAATGTAGGCTAAAATAAATTAATACTGGTATTGTAGTAAATGCTGGAGACATATCTACAATAGCATGATACTGTATAGCTTTTTGTTAGGTTTTCTAACAAATTCGTGCATTATTATCATTATTAAGATGTTTTATTTCTACACTATTCCACTCCAAACTCACCTAAAATAGTCATTTTCAGCTCTGACTGAACACACAGCAGGTGGATGATGGGCAGAGATGCTGGAAAACATGTTGACCAGCTGTCTTTGAGGACCAGTGTAGGAAGACCCTGATAAACTGCACCAGATTGCTGTGATAACATGACATATTGCTCAAACTCGACTTACTTTTAGCATAACGGCTAATTTTAGCCTACTCAAAGCAACGCCACATCGCTACTGACAATGTGCATCATTTATTTCAGTTTCTTCGAGTAAAACTCAATAATGTTATTAAATGAATACAAACTGTACTTACACGGTGGGAGATTTGTGATAATTGTCCAACTTTTCGCCGCGTCCTCATGTTCTCGTGGTGCTGAACAAAACCGGAAGAAAATGAGATTTGAAAACAGCGCCCTAGTATCTCGCGGCCGCGAGATTATGTTAGTCATATCGCGAGATTTGTTAGCGTTAGGTGCAAAAAATAAATAAAATTGCATTATGGTTTTAGAAACAGTGACGTTACTATCCTTTCACCGCACAGGACACTTTATGAATGTAATTGGTCAGTTGACAAGATGTAAATAAAAGTGATTTCTGTATTTCATAAAGATAAATCTGTTTTTAATGAGTTTAGATGCCTGAAATCTGTCCACGAACCCACTTGAGACACACATATATTAAGTGTATACCCAGATGTAAGTGCAATACTTTTTAATATTTCATAATTTCAGCAAGGGTTTATGATGGACTATAAATGCACGTGTAAAGGACGTCATTTTTGGACTTAATCAGGACATGGTATATATTAAACTACATGTACATTAAATCGTAAATACACGCAACCCCAAATATAAATAGACATGTTTAAATGTATACAAGCATATATTAATGCATTTTAGCACATGTTGTGCATTTGTGCCGTGCGTTCGCGACGAATTTTGGCTGTGGAAAGCACGTCGCTTTCAGACCATCAGTACACAGTTGATGCCGTCGCGGAGCGACATCTTTTGGCCGGGGAGAGCACATCGTCGTCCGACCAATGTTTGCTGGGAAGCTACTGGGAGGCTGAGGCTGCGGATCGCTTGAGCTCAGGGCTTCTGAAGGTGGCGAGGCAGTGGCGCAGTTTCTGTGTGGAGTTTGCATTTTCCCCCTGCCTTCACGTGGGTTTCCTCCGGGTGCTCCGGTTTCCCCCACAGTCCAAAGACATGCGGTACAGGTGAATTGGGTAGACTAAATTGTCCGTAGTGTATGAGTGTGTGTGTGTGTGTGGATGTTTCCCAAAGATGTGTTGCGGCTGGAAGGGCATCCGCTGCGTAAAAACTTGCTGGATAATAGTGAACTATAATGCTATTGTAAGTGAATGATTAGCACAGTTTATTAAAGCATTAGTTCACTTCTATAAAAGTGAGTTTTCCTCCACTAGAGGTCGCTGTGATGATCAGATTCTCCACAGCTCTGATTCTCTCAGCTCTCGCCGGGTTCAGTGGCGCGCGCCTGTAATCCAAGCTACTGGGAGGCTGAGGCTGCGGATCGCTTGAGCTCAGGGTTTCTGGACTGCAGTGGACTATGTCGATCGGGTATCCGCACTAAGTTCGGTATCGATATGGTGCTCCTGGGTGAGCTTGGGACCGCCAGGTCGTTTAAGGAGGAGTGAACCGGCCCAGGTTGGAAACGGAGCAGGTCAAAGCTCCCGTGCCGATCAGTAGTGGGATCGTGCCTGTGAATAGACACTTCAGTTCAACCTGAGCGACACAGAGAGACGCAGACTTTTACCTAAATTTTTTTTTTAAACTTTGATTTGTCTTTCTAACTGTAAAACTGAAGAAATAAAGATTTAGAGATGTATGATGACTATATGCATTATTAATAGTAAGTAATAATTAAAAGTTTACTAGCAGACTTCAGAAAGTTTATTTGTAAACAAAAATACAAAAATCATCTCAATTTCATGTCTATATTTTAAAAATATGCCTTAGACAGAAATATATTGAATTTAATTGAAAATATATCAAATTAAAAAATAAATATAGAGAATAATTTTACTTTAAACATAAATGGCACATTATAATTTTTGGCCCCATCAGAAACAAAAGTAACACACGGGTAGGTCACAACCAGATTTACTGGCTTCATCATGTTTGTTTTAATTATATCTGACTATGACATTGTTAATTTTTTTTTAATACCACCTGATATTGACGGTTAAAAAGCTTCCAGTACAAAATGGCATTTTTATTGATAAATTAGTTATAGAGTATTATGCCAAATGCAGTTTTAATCTAGAAAGTTTTGTTTAATAAAATAGAGGAGGGGGATATATTTAAGAAATTAATAACACTTAAAAATAGTAAAGCAACAGGGTTAGATAATATTCCAGTGCAGTTCCCTCAAAGACTCCCTAAATGCGTCACTCCGATGGTTACACATATTATCAATTTTTCTATTTGTCAAGGTAAAGTTGAAAAAAGCAAGAGTTATTCCTCTTTTTAAGAAAGGTAGTAGGTTTGAGGTTAATAATTCTAGGCTGGTATCAATTTTGAGTGCTTTGTCAAAAGGGAGGGAAAAAGTTATTTATTAGCAGATTGAAAAATATTGTTTAAAATGTGACGTATTGCAGAGTTTCAATCGGGTTTTAGAAAAATCATTCCACTGATTCAACAGTTTCTTTTATTTAACAAATTATATAAAGAGCGATATGGATAAAGGAAGTTAAGTGGGATGGTTTTCTTAGACCTGCAAAAAGCTTTCAATACAGTCGATCACAGGATATTGATTTTAAAAGTAAAGGCAATGGGTTTTGGTGTTTTGGCCTGTAAATGCATGAAGTCTTACCTTGAAAACAGATGTCAAATAGTAGATTTAAATGGTGTGTTTTCAGATTATTCGACCGTTTCTTATGGGGTTTCACAAGGCAGTGTTTTAGGTCCTTTGCTTTTTTAATATACATCAATGATTTGAAAATGGCCCGTTCAAAAAAGCTTTTGTTATTTGTGGATGATGCAGCAATAATTGTGTCTCATGAGAGGAAGGAATTTATTGAAAATGAAAAAAGTAAACAAACTGAGGAAGTCTCTTAATGGTTTAACCTTAATAAATTGTCCTTACACTTGTGTAAACCAGAATTTATTTTATATGGTTCAGCTGCGAAACTGAGAAAATGTGTCAGATCAGAGGTAAAAGTAGAGCATCAAATTAATGAACCCAAACATGAAGGGAAATATTTAGGTTCCATTTCAGACAGTAATTTGACAGGTGAGAAGATGGCTGTTATAGTCCATTCAAAAGTTCTAAAATTAAGTTTTTAGCAAGACAGACAGAGCTCTTAGATTTTCAAACTTTACAAATATTGGCTAGTGCATTAGTGCAGTCATACTTTGACTATGCTGCAGTCTTTTGGTACAGCAGTAGTTCCACAAAAATGAAAAATAAATTGCAGACGGCCCAAAATAAGTTGCAGAATTGTTATCAAAGTACTTCTACTGACACATTTAAATAATGAATATTATAGTCAAACTAATTTATTAAAAGTTGGAAAAAGGGTCACTTTTCTGAAATTGGTGATGGTGTTTAAGATTTTAAAATATTTAATTATTAAGTTTTAGTTAGTGAGGTACACTGTCATTCTACAAGAGCGAGTAGCAGGGGTATTTGTCCTTGTAGATTTAATAGTGAAACAGGTAGAAAGTCTTTTCTGTGTACTGTTGCTTGGAATATACTGCCGAGGAGTTTTAAAGAGATTCAATTTGAGAGTTTTTAGAGAGGAAATTAAAAAATGGCTGTTTTTCGGTTGAAGTTGAGGATTTTTGTTGTGCTGAGTTTCTGAGCTGATGATGTTTGCACTTTATGATTTGCTCGTTCATTTTTTAAGAATATCGATGACCACGATGGAAATCAGCCTGTGGCTTTATTGTGTATTTTATCCTCGACAGTTTTTAAGATATGAATGTCAAACTGGACTTGTTTGTGTATTTTTGTTAAAATTGTCAAATAAAATCAATCAATCAATTTATTCATTCATTTTCATTTAGCTTAGTCCCTTTATTAATCTGGGGTCGCCACAGCGGAATGAACTGCCAACTTATCCAGCATATTTTTTACACAGCGGATACCCTTCCAGCTGCAACCCAGTACTGGGAAATATCCATACACCCTCATTTACACACACACACACACACACACACACACACACACACACACACACACACACACTATGGCTAATTTAGTTTATTCATTCACCTACAGCATAGCACATGGGCTTGGAGCACCCAGAGGATGAACACGGAGAGAACAAACAAACTCCACACAGAAATGCCATCTGACCCAGTCGGGACTCCCACCAGCAGCCTTCCTACAGTGAGGCCATGTGTATATATATATATATAAAGATACATTATTTTTTCCCTTAATAGCTACATTTTAAAGAAATCTATTTGCTTAAGTCAGCTGAACAGTAAACAACAACAGCAATAGAAACCACCAAAGGACACCATATGAACACAGCCAAAATGACTTATTAGAGCATGCACATCTTTGTCATTCCAATGGATTTTTAAAAATATGTACATGCCGCCTTTTCTCTTTCCCCTTAATGAGGAAAACTATTGAATTCTATAAAAGCTGTTCAGCGTTTTATTTTTTTCAGATTAACATTCAATAAACTTAAACTAAAAGTTTTAGATTGTGAGCAGGACAGCACACTGGTTCTCCCGCAGCATGTTTGTTCATCATTTCTATCTTAATGTGTTGATCATTTTCTTTTGTGTTTCTGTATTGTGTGAAGGTCAACCAGTCCACAGTTTATGCTGCTATAATCTTTATTCAGTTTTATTCATAAACTATGTACAATATATACACTGTGCTCACGTCGACTCCAGGTCTCTTGGGTGAAGGTCTCTCAGTGACGTGGTCTCTTCTGGTCGCCGTGCGTCTCTGGTGGAGATGGGGAGCGGGAACGTTTCCCTCTGGCGTCCTGGACTGAAGATGCTGCACCAGCTGAGGAAGAGGAGGATAGTGGCTTGGTCTGGCAGGAGAAGGACGGCCTCTTTTTCTTCTCAGCAGCATAGGCCTCACTGAACAGATCGAGCGCAAACACACACAAGCAGACATAATGTGAGATTTTCACAAACAATAGAACATGCTGCAATGCCAAGTACAGTTTACTCACGCGTCTATGATGGGAATGACGTATTTGCGGCTGCCGTCCATCATGACTCCCTTTCGGTTTGGGTCGTCCACCTCCAACAGGAAGCTGCGGGGAATCCCTGTGCTCCTCCGGATGCGCTTAAGCGGAGCAGAGCTGCTGCCCTGTGAATTCATGAGTGACAGTCAAACTACAGAGCAAACAATCTGACTGATGGAGACAAGAGCTCAAGTTCACAGCAACCATAAGCTTAGAAAACCCAGTTACCCCTTTAGAGGGGCAGTGCCTAATGTGGTGTCCTGGGATCCCACAGTGAAAGCAGACATAGTTGGGTGGAAGAAGCCCAAGCAGTGTCATGGCCTCACTGATGAACATCAGAACCATGAGAATCAGCTCTAACATTTCTCACAAACCAAACCTGTCAGTGTCTGAACGCTCACCTGCTGGAGTAGTAGCACAGACTGGACTGGTACATCACCGCTTTTAGCTTGTCCTCCTCTGATGCCTTTGCCTCAGCCAGATTCTCAGTCTGTTTCACAGGCATTTGCACATTAGAATTTTATTTCACTGATTTGCTCTAAATAAACACCCTCAAATCTCCCTAAGAAGCTGTGTGTGTTTGTGTGTTTGTGTGTATTGTTGTTTGCTAAACACTGTGTATTGATATTCTGCACAACATGTCATTATGACGCCTCAAATGCAAACACTGCAGTTCAATACAGAGCAGCACAGTGGGGTGAATTAATCATTTGTTCAATACCTTCAACAGCTGCTCCAGTGAGAGGAGTGAAGAATCACCTGTTTGAGAAGATTTAGCTGATGGTCCAGCTTGATGTCTGCAAAACAAAACAAAGGAGCTTGTGTGACCAAAACACCACAGACAGACTCAAACTCTTGATATAACATCTATCAGAGGATGATTGCACTCATTTCACATAACTTACCCAACAAATCTTCTGTTGGAGGACTTAAGTCCAGCCGCAGGGACCCGTCTGATGATGACCGATGTGTTTTTAGGGATGAGAGCATCATCATCTGTGTATTCTGACAGCAAAATAAAGTTTGAATATAGTAATAATTATTTACCATGGTATACTTTGAGTGCCATTAGCATTTTAAAACACTCAGAACATCACTATATGTCACCATCAGAGTCATGATAACACATGTCAGCTTCTACAAGTCTGTCTGATAACACATCTAATGTTAGTGTATTATAGTTTAAGTGGCTTTTCCTCATCTCACCTTCATCAGTTTGGGCTTTGCTGATCTTCAGCTGGCAGAACTTCAGCCTCTCGCGCCTCATGATCTGCCGCTTCAGCTCTCCCGCAGTGATGTTGAGGCCCTCAAACTGGAGCGAGTCGTAGGTGAGTCGACTCTGAAACCTGTAATGAACACAAGACATACTGAACACAAAACACAGTGTGATAACAAGGGTCAAACCTGAATGAAGGGAGAAGAAGACGATCAATCGATGTATCCAACAATCAATAATCTGGGAATCAGTTGCCACGAAGGACGCCGAGATCAGATGCCAATGAGCGAAGTTCAAAACAACACAAAAAGAACCGTTGCCATGGATATTGACGATCACGTGACGAGGCGCTAAAAACTTCCGCGTTATTTTCTCATTAATAATAGTGAAATCATTACTATGATAATAATAAAATAAACAGCAGAACAGTTGGCCATCTCTGAATAATAAACAGTGGCGTTTCCTTACATGAATGATTCAGGACTCTGTATAGAGTCGGGCGAGTCACTGAATCAGTAGCTGCGTCCCAAATCGCATACTTATGCACTATTTTACGCCATTTTGTAGTATAAATAGTGTAAGTAGTGTGTTCACATTGAAAACTCTCAAAATAATAAGTGCACTTTAATTACCCGGATGATGCACTCATTCAGCCGGTATAATGAAGTGTGTAATGATGGACACTTCACGCACTCAACGACCGCAGGTTTGCTTACGTAGCGGAAGGGGCGGAGCTATCTGACGCACATGTTGAATAACTTTATTTATTTTGGATGGTGAGAGCAAAATTCTCCTACAAGAGTGATTATAGCGCCTCCCGATGGTGAATGCGGTTATACTCACGGCAGGTATTATTTGATAATTCAGTCGTTTATTTCACTGATTTGGCAACAGTCAAACGTCATCAGGGAAACGGTTTGAATTTCCGCTTAGTAAAAAAACATTAGTGTGCCATTTGGGACAACACTACATACATATACTATCCTGTTGAGTGTGTAAGTGCATAAGTACATAGTGCATGAGTGCATAGTGTATAGTGTGCCATTTGGGACGCAGCTAATGATTCGTGGCTGAATGAATCACTTAAAGCTTCACTCGATTAAAGAGGTCTCTTGCTGCCACCTATTGGCGATTTGTTTTTCCGTTTTAAAGTAATTTAACACTTTTTAAAAACACCTTTAAATGTATTTTCTACAAATGTTCATCTCTGTATGTTAAAATGATTTAAAACTCTCTAAGCTCATCATTTATTTGTTTGCCCTTGATCTTCATTATGTGTTACAGTTTTTTTTCCAATTGTTTTGCCACAAATTTCAGAACCCTGATGTCAATTAAAAAAACTCTAGACACAAAATCCTAAACAGTCACTACTTTTAACACTCTCCAGTGTTCTGCATACAGCATTCATTCCCTTAAAGAAGTCTTGCATTTGCAGGATCATTGATTCACATAATCCTTTTATAATACAAATACTACAGGAACACTACTTTAGATCACCAGCAGCACACAAGATGTACATCGCTTCAATATACAATCATTAACAATCATTAAATATTGTTGTTTAAAATATATGATACAGGTTTCATTATGGTCTATAAGTGTAAAGGGAAACAGTGCAGACAGTGGATATACTGAACTAGTTTTATTCATTCCATCATAATGTTGGTTTACTGTATTTTTTTTTTCTCACTTCACGTCCCCATATAGAAAGCTGATAAATGGCATGATATATGGTCCCATCTGCAAATTACATTATTATAAAATGTCATAATAGTCAATAATTTGTCAAAATAGTGAAAAAAATCATTGTTTATATTATTTTCAACCATATCATATATATATATATATATATATATATTTGTAGGGGTAAAATATATAACATAATGGATCATATATATATACGTAACATATATGTACATATTTGTAATTCTAATATTTTAACAAATGGCAATATTTTGACATGTATAACATATTTTATATATGTAAAATTCATATGAACTATTATGTCACATATGTAATTTGCATATATTTCTATATATCAGATTTCTATTTTGGGATTTTGTGTTACCATCAGTCTGGTCTTGTGGATTTGGTCACGGGTTCTCCTCTACATTTCAGTGGTGTTTTCATTACTCAGAAATCTTGGAAAGAACCTTCTGTCAATGTAAATCCAGGCCTGACATTGGTTTGCTGTGACTGGGCTTTCTTACAGTGATGTCAAATATATAAACATTGTCTGTAAAAGTGGTACACAGAACAAAGAAATCATAAATATGGACTAAGGATGAATAAAGATGACATCTATAGATAATGTAGTTCAGTTGGGTCATCTTCTGTGGTAACTGATGTCATTTGATCTATCCTGATTATTTCATCATCTAAACATGTAATATTGTACATCAGTTTCCCCACATCAACAATAATGCAGCAGTTATTCATCATTTGGAGTGCTTGTATCAGTTGATAATAACATCATGTGAAGTAAATGAATACATGGTTATTTCAATTGTAATGTTTGAGTTGCATTTTGAAATGGGATCAATTTGAAGTTTAATTGTGTTATATTGAAAAGGTGATTTTAGTTCAATGAATAAAGTATGTTTGACTTGTGTGTGTTGTATCCAAGCATTTGAAAAAAGAGTTAAAAGTTTTGCAAAAACGTACAATTTTGGCAAAGGTTGTGAATTTTGTGTCTAGACTTTTAAAAATTGACACCAAAGTTCTGAAATTTGTGGCAAAATAATTGTAAAAAACTGTAATAAAAAAAGAGAAAGGACAAATCTTATAGATGATGAGCACAAATCTGAAAGCATCTGTGGATCTGTCACAATCCACTCATTTATTATCATTACTGTGGGTTTCTTCATCACAAAAATAAGCCCATATACATGTAAATAAATAAAACACCACAAGCAGATTTAAAACATCAGAATCTGCAGAACAAGGATCAGCACTGACCTTTCCAAGAAGAAGAGCGACTGCAGCAGGCTTGAACTGAAAGGCTGATTCATATTATTGAGTGTTTCTAATTCAAAAACTCTTTTGTTTAGGGTTAGTGATTCAGATCTCATTTAATGTTTACAGAATATTGAAAAATGATTTACAGACCTAATTTGCATCAATGAATTAAAACAAAACAAGAAGACTGCAATGAATAATCCCTGATATAAGGATCATTTCTAATCATTTATCAGATTTACCATTGTTTTAATTATTACGAAAAATCTGTGAAATGCAAATTTTACTCATGCAAAAAAAATATTACAGACAATGGATTATCAAATTATGAATTCCTAATAGTGAAGGTGGCGAGGCAGTGGTGCAGTTTCTGTGTGGAGTTTGCATGTTCTCCCTGCCTTCACGTGGGTTTCCTCCGGGTGCTCCGGTTTCCCCCACAGTCCAAAGACATGCGGTACAGGTGAATTGGGTAGACTAAATTGTCCGTAGTGTATGAGTATGTGTGTGGATGTTTCCCAGAGATGGGTTGCGACTGGAAGGGCATCTGCTGCGAAAAAACTTGCTGGATAAGTTGGCGGTTCATTCCGCTTTTTAATAAAGGGACTAAGCCGACAAGAAAATTAATGAATGAATAATAGTGAAGGTATTATACTAATAGTGAACTATATTGCTATTGTAAGTGAATTATTAGCACAGGGTATTAAAGCATTAGTTCACTTCTATAAAAGTGAGTTTTCCTCCACTAGAGGTCGCTGTGATGATCAGATTCTCCATAGCTCTGATTCTCTCAGCTCTCGCCGGGTTCAGTCAGTGGCGCGCGCCTGTAATCCAAGCTACTGGGAGGCTGATCGCTTGAGCTCAGGGTTTCTGGGCTCCAGTGGACTATGTCGATTGGGTGTCCGCACTAAGTTCGGTATCGATATGGAGCTCCTGGGTGAGCTCGAGACCCCCAGGTCGTTTAAGGAGGAGTGAACCGGCCCAGGTCAAGTGGTCCTCACTGCAGAGCTATTTGGGCAGAGCTGAGCTCCAGCAAGGGGGAGCTTGAGCTCTCGCTCCTCCTTTCTTGCGCTTCTTCTACGAGTGATGTCACTGGGGGTAGGTGTACGCATTAAAACAGCTTATCCGCCTGTTAAGTGTGACGTCACGCGAAGCGGCTTCCGGGTCCAAGCGCTCTATTCAACTGAATGGGGAGACTCATGAAATGGTAATAATAAAGTTTTACAAAGCGATTTAAGGCTTTCGAAAATCACGATCGCAATATCATGCCTAATATCCGATGGCCAGAAAGTGATTTTTTTTTTTTTAAATTGTTACATTTTTGGTATTTTTTATGCAGCAAGCCCAGAGATTGTTGTGTACACTATGATTTTATATAAAATTAACTTTAATGTGTGATAGGAATAAAACGTGATCATAAACAAATGATTTCTCCACTCAAATGAGTGGCGGCTTGGACCCGGAAACAGTATACATACGTCACAAACACGTCACCATTTAACAAGCGGATAGGAGGAGGAGCTAGAGCTCATGCTCCCCCTCGCTGGAGATCAGCTCTGCTCAAATGGCTCTGCAGCGAGCAGCGTCTCGCCCAGGTCGGACACGGAGCAGCAGGCACGTGCACAC